GGTGATTGTAATGATGAAGAGGACAGTGATGAGGACGGTGATAATGATGTCACGAGGCACAAATGAACTCAAGTACCAGAAACAGTATCATACAACTGCCCTCCTGGGGTGGGGATAGTATCCATCTTGGTTCCTAAACACAAGGAGACCTGGGTCTGCAGGGTACCATACACATTGCTATGGACACTGGCACTTTGCAGACAAGCTGAAGTTCATCTCGCACCCTCCACTCTAATAACAAAACCAAAGTGTCGGGAAGGGCATTTCCACCCCAAGATAACGTTATGGGGACCGCACCTGCACCCCGTAGGTGACATCTCTGCTGGGCGGGGCAGGGCCGGGGTCACAGCTGGCCCAGAGGCAGGGCTGGAATCCCTGCTCCACACCATCTTAGGTGAGAGGCCTTCGGGGTGACCTGCAGGAAGGGAGCTCCTGGTCTGGCTCTCCTCCTCCAGCAGGGGGCAGAAGAGGCAACAGGAGAATCAGAACTGAGGCTGGGGCTGCCCAGGTGGAGCCTCAGAGTGAATCATCCCTGGGGGTCCACCGGGGTCTGAGGGTCAGGCCTGGCAGGAAGTCGGGACTGACCACCCCATCCCCTGACAGCACAGGGACCATGTTGGAGGTTCACATGCACAGCGCCACCCAGGACACTGAGGGGACAGGGCACAGTGCATCCCTCTTGTCTCTCTAGGATCCTGCCAGGCTAACAACTCCACTGAGCCAACCCAGCAGAATCCACAGGCAGGGATGGTTGGGACAATGGTCACGTGGTCAGAGACAGGAAGGGGCCTGAGATCAAGGCCTCTGGAGGCCAGGTCTGATTTGGGGACATAAGAAGCCAGGGAGGAGGCTGAGTGAGTTGCCCTTGCTGAAGGACTGGTGACTCCCCTCTCAGTGAGGAGCCCCAGGGATGGCGTAAATTTGCATAAACCCAAGCCCTCCTGCCCTGAAGTGCTGAGGGAATAAGAGGGACCTTGAGGAGCCCTGCTCTGCTGCGTGGTCTCAGAGCAGAGCTCAGGGCACCTCTACCATGGCCTGGACCCCTCTCCTGCTGCCCCTCCTCTCTCTCTGTACAGGTGCTGCCCCCAGGACTCAGACCCCTGGGTACCCAGACATCAGCCAGGCCCTGAATGTCAGCTCAGCACAGGGGATGCTGTGGAGTGCGTGGTCCTAGGGAATGACACCCTGGTCCCCACCCTCACTCTCCTCTCCTCTCCTGCAGGTTACATGGCCTCTTCTGCACTGACTCAGCCCCCCGCAGTGTCCGTGTCCTTGGGACAGACGGCCAGGATCACCTGCCAAGGAGCCAGCTGAGGAAGCAGTTATGCTCACTGGTACCAGCAGAAGACTGGGATTTCAAAATTGTAGAACAGATAAACAAGATTACACTGTATCGCACAGGGAAATACACACAAAAAGTTATGATAACTCACAGAGGAAAACATGTGACAATGAGTGTGTATATGTCCATGAATGACTGAAAAATTGTGCTGAACACTGGAATTTGACACAACTTTGTAAAATGATTATAAATCAATAAAAAATGTTAAAAAAATAATGTTAAAAAAAGACTTCTCTAAAAATAAAATAAATTTTTTTTTAAATATTGAAAAAAAAAAAAAGAAGCCAGGCCAAGCCCCTGTGCTGGTCATGTATGATGATGACAGCGGGCACTCAGGGATCCCTGAGTGGTTCTCTGGGTCTCACTCAGGCAACACGGTCACCCTGACCATCAGTGGGGCCCAGGTTGAAGATGAAGCTGACTATTACTGTCAGTCATATGACAGCAATGCTAATGCACACAGTGACCCAGGCAGATGGGGAAGTCGGACACAAACCCCTCCATCTCTGTCACCCTCTCCTCCAGCCCCAGGAGGTCTGTGGGCAAAGCAGTGACAGATCTGGCTGGGTTTCTATAGATCTGAGCTCCCAGGACATACTCCCCCCCAGCCCTCCCTCCAGGCAGCTCTACACATGGTGAATCAGATCTGATCTTAGGGTGGCTGGACCAGGATGTCTTGGTGTCTGGGCTGTGGAACGAGTAGGGCAAAGTGGGCCTGAATGAGAGGACAGATGGAGGGAGACACGGACCCACTGGTAATGGACCGTCGATTTCTGTGTGTCAGTGACTGGCCCCTCACCGCCCACTTCTCCTGGACTGATCCCCAGAACCACCCAGCTCATCTGAGCTCCTGGAGCTTTAGGTTCCCATGGCAACCTAGGCCCCTGAGCAGATCAAACTAGTGCAGCAGACAGTGTGGAGTCTCTCCTTCGGGTTGACACACCACCCACTGGTGTTGGAGACTCTGCCAGCTCACAGCTATGCCCTCCCCAGATTGGGCCGTTGCTGTAGAGATGTGCTCCCCCAAGGTCCTGCCCCTTCCCTGCGTGTGACTCAGGTGCAGTGATGCCTGACACCAAGGTTCCAAGTCCTTGCCTCAGTACAGGATGACATGCAGTGTCCCCCACCCAAGTCCTCAGCCATCACCACAATGCAGGTGTGACCAGTGGCCTCCCTTGTTTCCTTCCAGAAAGATCTCATTCAACTTCGTGCATGCATTTTCCAGAGTGAATTTCCAAGGATTCTGAAGAGAAATGGATCATCTAGAGCAAAGAGGGTCAAAGAGGAGATACGCACAGAGAGAACTGTGCAGCTCCAAATATTCCTAACTTTCTGATGAACTCTCAGGAGGGAGGAATCATCCTGAGGTTGAAGAAGGAGCCACCAAAGATGTTGGAGGAAGTTCAGCAGAATCACACACACATCAGAAGAGGGCTCCTCCCCAGTCAGAGGGGGAAGCTCCAAATTAAGGCCTCAGGGTGACCAGTCAGAAGAACTCACACTAGTAGTGGAGGTAATCAGCCCCATATGAAAGGCCACCCTGGTTCCCTTTAAGAAAATGTAAAAGCAAATACAGAAAGTATTTAAGTGTCTCCAAGTCACTTTACAGGAATAACACAGAAAAGGAAGGAAGGAAGGAAGGAAGGAAGGAAGGAAGGAAGAAAGAAAGAAAGA